ACTACCAACGATAGCGTAAACAAATGTAGTTCCGATTAAGCTGACTGATAATAAAGTTAATGCTGACAATAAAGAACTACTTATAGCCTCAAAATGCACAACAACTCAAATTAAGATGTAGAATCTGATCCAATATTCATAACTTGAATCATAGATCACTATAGTAAATATGTCACTAAACCGGAAGTGACGATCCGAGTAAAGTATGATGGCTACCAAAACAGGAAATGTTAAATCCACCCTCTTATCCCAGATATTACAAATCCTACGACTTTACATGAAGCAACAACGTAAAATATGACGATAATAGCTATTACTACAATCGTATCAAGATAAGCTGACATATTTTCAATAAAATCGTAAGCGAACAACTTTTCTGGCAGGCACATGATGAACATAAGATTAAACAAGTATGAGAACTGGACAGACCGCACAATATTACGTATAAAATAAAGTGATATATTACAATATGTTACAATATGTTTGGCCAGAAAACATATATGTGCATTCATGTTTATATATCTATACCCTTCCAATCAAAAATTTTAACAACTTTAAAAACTGAACTCGGTAATTTTAAGTACAAATAAATAAACTTTGCATCTTATTTCCGGACCATTCAATTCACATTCACATGGAACACTTTTTGCGAGTGGTTTATTTTAATGTAGATACTTATGTATCTTTTTGTAACCAAACCAAATCTGTACAAGTATTAATAGTATCTCGAAAAATTGTAAAAAGTCAACATTTCATAAGTTCTATAGTTTTAAGTTCTATAGTTCTAAGTTTCGTAAGGTCGATACAATGGTCTTGTCAGCAAATACAATCTAACATTAAGTCAAATGCTGACTAAAGTTTTTCATACTAATTGTTAGGCCATTATTTACACACTGAATTGTCGACGGATTTTTCCGCTATTTCCCGATCATTACAAGGATCACATGGCGGGTATGACCGGTCAGCAGGGGATGTTCACTCTTCAATGGCAACTGATATCACCTTTGATGTTTTAGAAGTCCTTGTTTGCTCTGGTCCTGATTTGTATTGTTTAAATGGACTTTTGAGCTTGAATACTGTCCGTTATCTCCATATATTTCATTACAGGCAGACTGATGACGGACACCTTATGATCGCAAAAACATCCTTTTAATAATCAATAAATTTTCAAATAAAAAAATGCTGGTTCTTTTTATCTTCCTTCAAAAGGTGGACCATACAAAGTGGAATGTTTTCCCAATTATCACCATTTTTATGTAGGCGTACGTTAGGGAAGCTACAGGTTCTTTCTCGCCTAATTACTAAAATTCGTTCCCAGATGTAATTTTACATTGTTTGCATATTTCTTTTAAGAGAAGTGCAACTGCCTATCTGAAACATCATTCGTACAAAGAACTTCTTTTTTTCAAATTTGTAAATGGGTAAAAATCATCGACAAAATTGACAAGGAGTACAGCGTAATATGTGACTATGTTACGGCCATGTTAGACTGTAAACAAACCGTGAAAAGTCGTAAAAAAATATACAGTGTATTTATAAAATAGTTTAAAAAAATAAATCTTTCTTATCTTTCTTATCAAAATTCCTAATGCAAAAATAAAGTTGAAGTTTTTTTTTCTCTCCTTAAAAAATGTGTAAATGAAAGGGAGGTTCTATTAAAAAAAAAAATTTTAATCACGATGTAAAGGGATTGTTAAGTATTTTGCAATTTAAATCAATAATTTTTCCACCATTTTGTCCTAACAAAAAAAGTGTAATTCTAAACTGAAGTTAATAAATTAAAGCTTATAACGTCTCAAATTAGTTCAGATGGGTTTTATACAATCTTCATTGTTTTTTTGATGTTACTCTAATTTTTGCCATTCAGTTAAATACAATCCTTTTCTACCAGGAATAAAGTCCCATTAATATCCTCTATTTATGTGAATGTTAACCAAACAGGTAAGCTTAACGCATTCTTAAAAATCAAAACAATGAGAAGAGTTGTCTGTCTTTTTTTACGGGCTACTAAACTGATGAGTGTCTCAATGAAAAGTGGTATATTTACCAAAAAAAAAAAAGAAAGAAAGAAAAAAAAACTTCATGACGCATAAACCAGTTTGTTTGTTTTTTTTTTTTAAAGTTCCAAGCGATTTTTTTAATGATTTATAAATTGGAATCTGTGTAAGTCCTGAAAGTTTCACGTTTTTTTTTTTGAGAAATCGCGTGCACAAAATCGGTAAGGAAAAAAAAACACCCCAATAATAATAATGAAGGTGAAAAAAAAAAAAAAAAAAAAAAAAAAAAAAAAAAAAACTAAAAATAACAAGATCTTCTGTAGAAGACAGAAGACCTTAATAACTAGAGCAAAGCTCGTTGCAAAGCAATGAGTAGGTCTTCCGTCCTGTTTTAACCGGAAGTGAATCAATAAAAGAAAAGAATGAGTTAAGACATTAAGAAATTAAGAGGTTTTGATGCAAATCTTAAAGTCATTGGAGACCAATGACTTTAAAATTTGCATCAGAACCTGTAAAATAAGCTATTTCTGGCTACTTCCAGTTTGAACCGTAAGTGATATCAATGGATGAAAAATTTGTTTGGACGCTTCTGGTTAAATAAATTAACCAATACCGTGTCGAAAACGTCAAAAATATGCATTTTCGTTTAGGCCGGAAGCGACGTCATTTGACAACTTTTTTTTTACTATTTTTCTTGCTCGTTTTGAGCAATTTTGCTCCTTTGATGTATCACAAATTCTCAATAGTTTTTGAGTTATTGAGAAAACACTTTCAGTCCCTGTAGATCCTTTATTTTAAGGGCCAGTCCCTAATTTGTCGATATCAAATGAAAGGGCTTGTCATTCTGCACAACTTTTGTTCTATATGTTTTATCAAAATATTTACATGTAAAGAGATATTCTTGAAAAATTGCTGAAAATTTTTATATACTCAATATGACTATTTTCGGAGCATACCGAGCGTCAACGAGCGGCACTACTGGAAAAATGAACTACCTAGTACATGTACACATTTACAAACATTGCTCTATTATTGCTGAAAATATCAAGTTCCTATAAAAAGTGCTTTTTTAGAAAACGAGTGGACAAAGTGACCCTCTAAAAATCACTTAATCGCAGAAATCTCCGGACCTGAAATGACGTCATCAAAACAAAAAATGTATATCTAGATCTTTTGATGTTCTACCAGACCTGAAAGTTTCATGAAGATCAAACAAGCCGTTTCCGAGAACTCGTGTGCACAAAATAGGTAGGGGAAAAAACCATAATAAAAATAGTGGAAAAGAAAAATTAAGAATAACAGAAAGGTCTTCCGCTGAAGTTGGAAGACTTTAATCAAAGTGAAAAAGAAACTTAAGAATAACAAGAAGGTCTTCCTTAGAAGACGAAAGACCTTAAATAGTTTGACCATTGTACTAGTGGGCAGAAACCAAGCTATATAATCCGATTTTCAATCAAATACATGAAAAATTGCTCTCATATATATATTAGTACCTTCACATGGATAACAATTTGATTTTAAAAACACCAGTCAACAGTCGACCTAACGACAGTCTGTATTTGCAAACAAGTTCATTGTATCGACCATTATGATAGAATTTGCGGAATATTGACTCAAAACGAGCTTGTAGATGCCCTTGTACCTTAAACTTATATGTCAGTAACTTGCCTCGGTTCAAATTTTTTTCGTACTTATAAGATGTAATTGCGTATCGAATACATTGGGAGACGGAGACACAAAATGTAGGTGTGATGGTGTATTGCTACACAAATAAGAAAGATAGGCGATAGAAAATAAGAAATAATTATGTTTCTTGTAAATTTTATTAGTTTGCCATCAATGTCTTTCTCTAGTAAAACATACAAATATGAAACAGATGCGACAGACTCTGAGATGTCGTTTATTTCATAGTTCAGGGAAATAAAAAACATAACATATATGATATGTCGTCGATACATCTAAATGTCGTACTGAACGCCACTGCAAGAGACTTCATGTAGAAGGTTTTGAATAAATTGTACTTATTCAAATATCAAAACAGGTCTTTTAATAAAGGGACACTTTTAGTACTTATATGTCTTCAAATATCCATTAGTTCAACGCAATAAATTAATCCTCTAAATGCAATTCTTATACTTCCAAAAACAATTACCGATATTTGGACTTCTTTGTTGTTGCCACGGTCGCTGCAGCAATCTCTGACTTCCGTATTAATTTAAAATAGTACCAATCTGGCGATTTTAAGACTCAAATAAACGACTTTAAAAAGATCGAAACAACGGTTTTCTAACTTTTCTTTCTTTATCGTAGAAACGTTTTTCCTAGATTGTATAATCGATTCAAAAGAAAAGGATGTAACGGATGCAAATTAAGCTCTTCACGCTAGATGGCAATTCATGGACACGACTTTTATTTTATCCGTGGCTTTGGTAAATTATTTTGAGGTGAATTTTATTTTGTTGGCCATTAATGAATAAAATTTCATGTTCATTTTTTCTAATGTGATTTACCCCTTTTTTTCAAAATATGAAATAAAAATTAACTTAATATACAAATTTTTATTGGTCAACTTGCAGAAGCAACAGTATATCGGTACTTTTCCAAGATCAAAGTCACAATGCCCACTTGAGTCAAATTACGATATTTAAATACATGTACATGAGTGAATCAGAAATGAAGTCCCTTTTTAACCCTCAAATAAGCCAAAGGACATGATTTACTACAAGTATACACATGTATTCACCATTGAACCTTCATTACAGGGCAATTTTAACATACTTCTATTTACAGGCATCTTGACTTGACAAATTACAGTTTTTACTGTTCTTAATGGGAAGAGTTTAAAAAAAAAAATACATTCACGTTACGTTGTGTCCAGGGGCCAAAACTTATCACACTTGAGGCTACACTAAATAAGTTATAATAGTTACTAAACATCTTCTCTGAACTTGCCATGTTCAAAAATGTTTTTGATAAGCAAATATGAATATTTTTTTTCTCCTATCATTTGAGACTTTGGTATTTTACAGTGTATATGTAAAGAATATGTAGTCAGTTTGAACAACATTGAATCTTCATACACGAGTTTTAAATGAACCCAATCATTTTCATCTTTTTTTCTTTTCTCCCATGAAAGAGTCAAGGATTTTACTTTAAATTTTGAAAACTCTTTATTCAAAGATGTATTGTGTGAAATTGCACGGTTTAAAAATTGTTCCAGTTCTGAACGAGAGGTAAAAATCTTCAGAGATTACGGAAGGGCAAACTTAAATGAGAACACATGACAACGGACAAATCTAGACCACCAGAGTGGCTCACCTGGGCTAGCTCAGGTGAGCTCAAAATAAAGTACAACACGATCAGCTGATCTCAGTAACAACGTGCACAATGAAAATTGTAATGACAGGAACCATCCCGGGAAATTTGAGAAATCCCGGCATTTAAACACTTCTGCCATGTTTCACTTTTGGGACTCAAAATGTAGGTTAATTTGCTGCGTTTACGCTCTTCATTGTTTCCAAACCATTAGAACAATTTCGTCGTAGAATGTTAAATACAACAGCTCTAGTTCTTTAGGATGTTTTTTCTTCTTGTGATTTGAAATAAATTTTTCCGTCATCATTTTCGTACTTGCTGCTGGTTAGAATGTGACTTTCCCAATCAGGCCAAAACCGTTGTTTCATCCGTTCACAGTAACGAACTATGTTTGGCAAATTTTCTGCAATAAAAAAAATATATCAAAATTTTATATGATAAGCTTTTAAGGTTGAATCGGCATTTTAAATATGATTCAATTTAATACAAAACCATTATTTATCCAGTATGTACATGCAATTCTTTCTGTGCAATGAAAAAAGGAAAAAAACTAAAACCTATTCAGGTGCGGATACAGGAATTTTTCCAAAGGTGGGGGTTGGGGATGTATGTACATCAACTTTCAGGCCCCTAGCAACGGTTTCAAAAGTGGGGGGACAACTCCCCCCCCCCCAAAAAAAAAGAGAAAAAAAAACTAATTTACTGTCCAAATAGTGGAAATTTCCAGTGCTCGACCTTACAACATCAAAAAGTGGGGAGGGGGGGGGGGGGGGAGGGGGTGATACCAGCATCTAAAGAAAAAAATTACTATAACAAATTCCTGTACTCAGAAAAATGTGGGGGGGGGGGCTGCCTTCTACGGGCCTGACTTTTACAGATCAAACTCAGACATTTTCCAAAAAGGTAACAAACTTCCCCTAACCTGATATATGCAGATGAAAGAGGTATCCCACTCACAGCCAGTGGATACGCGTTTTATTATACTGATATATATTATAATAGCACATTTTATACCATGGGGTATAGTTTTGTGGAAATCAGTATTGGCGTCAAAAGTTGAAATGAAAATTTTCTGAGGGGTGGATAGCACACATTATACGCTGATGTAAAAGCTTTGCTATATGTGAAATGTTTTTAGACCATGAAAAATAGTTATTATACCTTCTTAACATTACAAAGTACACACTTTACCAGAAATTTAATAAAATAAATAGGGGAAGAGCTGAAGTTATTCCGATTGTGATATTGTTTAGTTAGTTTGCCATTATAACGTCTATAATCATGATAATCAATACATGTACAACATCTAATTATGGAACAAATGTGGCAAACTCTGTGGTTTCTTTTATTTCGAGTTTACTGGCATGTATCGAGTCGACATATGAATCGTCGATATACATGTATAATTCTCTCTATAAATGTCAAATTTTAGGCCACAACAAGAGTTTTCTTCTCGTGGAGATGGTTTTTTTTTAAATAAAATAAATCCTGATTTGTAAGAAAATAAGAATCGGTCAATGATAAAGGGGTAATTTAGTGCCCATCGAAATTCCAACAGATTGTTGATTGTTGTGGTCTCAAGAAACAACATATTGTCGATGAGTAACTCCAGCATCTTCTTAATCAATATCAAGGGTCAGAGTTTAAAAGAGTTAATGTGTGTAGAATCGGAATATATCAGAATTATTGTTACAAGTGTTTTGGAAGTAATACGGCGCCCCTTTAAAACAAACATGTTAACGAATCACAGACACAGATAGGACTTCGACATCAACTCGGAATATATTTAGTGTTTACGATGGGGATAGTTATTGTAATTTTGCTCTGTTTATGACCCACCTCTAACATATCTGTCATGTTTTGAGTTTGGCATGTTCAATATTATCATGGATAACATTCCAAACATCGCACAGTCTACTTCGCTTGGCTCAGATCCCATAAAAAATTCCTTGTTCCCTGAAATGAAAAGAAAATCAAAATAAATTTAACATGTACAGAATTATGACCAAATACATTTTTTCTTTACATGGTTTCCAAACCTTTACCCCCCCCAAAAAAAACCAAAAAAAAAAAAAAAAAATCGGCGTTTTACACATGTACCAGTATAAACAACAGCCTCATCTTCAAACAGTTTTCGCAAATGAGTCTATTCATTATTCATTAACTCATTAACAATATTGGAAAAATATAAGAATTGTGTTTTTGTTTAGCAGCCCTGGAAAAGAAATGCATAATTTCTCTCTCAAATTGTTTTCCGCGGGTATCCCTCTCCACATTCAAACGAAAAAATTTTGCATTTCCTCTCACTTCTGTTTTATAATCTCCTGCTTTACTAAAAAAAAAAAAAAAATGAGAACTGAAACAGTTGCATATAGTGATATTAAATATCAAAAGGTCAAGTGAGTCAGGTAACTTTAAAACAGAAAACATTTAGTCTGCAGATCGAAAAAATCCAGACACTTGGGATATGTTTTTTAGTAACACTAAACAAGAAAACAAAAAAAAAAAAAAAGAAAAAAAAAGAAAGAAAGAAAAGAAACAAAAAAAGAAGAAGAAGAAAAAAAAACATGCCATCAACTTTAAAAACTATGATATGGATTTTTTTTCCCAAACAAAGCATATTAAATCTCTGATACAGACTGGAATGGGTGAGGTCTTTGTATCTCGGCTGTACAGTAGTCAGGCCGTATAAAGCAATTTCGGTTGGGGGGTGGGGGGTACCCTAACAGAAGAGTCGTCAGATTATTTTTATTGAATGACACAACCGTAAATTAACTCCCCCGTGACCCCCCCCCCCCCCCAATACACACTCTTACCCCGGTTTCTATTCGCTAGGTACACGTAGTTTTGCAGAATAATTCTCTGAAGACGCTTAGTCGGACACTTTTTTTCTTTAAATGGGATTGACAATTTATGAAAAAGTGGTAGCTAGCTGCCACTGAAATTAAATTTGCCAAGTAACTTGACCCAATGCGCTCTCCCACCTTCAATTTTTTTTCACCATAGAGGTGTCAAAATTTTACAAAACATATCAAAATAGTGTCAGATCAAATAGGCAGATATAGATGTTTCACAATTTTCTAGGTTGTTTATTTAAAATCCATGATTTGGTTTGAAGGTAATTCAACATTTTGTAAATGCCAGGCTATATATTGTATTTTGAAACATTTCCGAGGATCGCATCAAATGCTTCATCTTGTATTGAAATATTTAAATAATACTTGGCCACGCTTTAATGCATGAAAGTGATTTTATATATCACATATAAAATGGTTCACTTATATCCATACGTACGAGTTCATTCATTCCTGGTATGGATATACCTGTACATATACTAGTATTTTTTATATGAATGGATTGGATGTTTTTGGCGTTAAATGAGAATAATTTAATTTTGTTTGTATTCTAGCCTCTGATTGGTTAATATCCAAAAAGGAACACAAATTATTTCTGTATAACCTGGTTTGGTATGGGGACACACCCACCTGACAACCAGCTGAATCGTCTGTATCCATGCAATCCTCTCATTTCCAGTCCTCGGGATTCATGGAAAATTCCAGATTTAATAAATGTACCTTTAACTTCAAACAGTAACTTGGATCTTACCACATGTAAACAAACAACATGGCTGCTATGACTATGTATCAGTTTTTACCTCCCCTCGCTTCCCATCACTTCCGTTACTAGGGTTGTATTATTGAGCGGCAAATTTGAACTAATAAAAAGCAACGAAATTTTACACCCACAGTTGTTTAATGATTTTAGAATTAAATTATAAGGAATGACTCTAATTCTTGGCCAAATTATTCGAGTATAACCTGGTTTGGGTCAGTTTACGCTGTTTTATAATCCGCTTCGCGGATTATAAAGCGTAAACTGACCCAAACCAGGTTATACTCGAATAATTTGGCCAAGAATTAGAGTCATTCCTAAAATAATTATGATATGCCAAAGATTATAAGCCTTCGGTAAATTAAGGTTCACCATCCGATGATTCCTCTGTTCTCTTATAAATATTTACTTTAATGCTTATGATTTTCCAAAAAGCAATATATTTTTAGTTTAAACACGAACAGTTTTAGCATACCTTGTGAGGCAAATTTTGACAAAAATTGCCTATCAACTTGACAATTTTATAATAATATAGTCATTTACCCTAATGAGAGTTATCTCTCTTATAAGAGGGTTAACAACCTTAAGCAGTACTCTCTCTCTCTCTCGGACCCTAATCGATCGTGTTTATAGCTAGCTGAGCAAGACTTTTGTTTTTATAAAAATCTAAAAAGATGCAGAATCTACACATCACCCATGCGTGACGACTATTAACAATTTCATGTTTTAATTGTGGGAAATTTTTCTTAAAAAAATATTTTTCTTATACCAAGAAAGTTCGATATTGCAGTCATGTCATCTACAGCTATGGTCCAGACCTCGTCCTGGGTGTGTCGGCCTATCCCATGGCCCCACGTCTCTTTCTTGATGACACGTTTAAGGAACCAAATGGTGAGCCAGAGTTTAAGCCCTTTGTATGGTATAACCTTCTCCACTGTGGATGTGTCCTCGCCGAACATTTCTATACACATAGTCCTATAAAAGAGCAGTACTTCATTATGGAACATTTCTATTCTATGGATGGTATGGCGTGTATGTTGTGTGCCGTCTTCAGATTGGGTTAACTTTGTTCATGGACCATGGTCAATCAATTCGTCTGTCAATCTGTCAATCTGAGAAGGTATTTTGTTTTCGTACAAAAAAAGTTCCTTAGATCACTCTAGATCTTATGAACTCTTGGTACAACTTGAAGTACAAAACGAGAAATAACAATACTATTATCAAGAGGCGGATGGGTCACGAAGCTCACCTGAGTTATCGGTCTTGGCCTTCCTGCTGGCGTAGATTTTTGAAAGCATGTTCCTTTTACCAGTAAATTCCATTATAAAGTATATTTTAATGACTAACCGAACTAGCATTATTTAGTCTGAACTTTGAATTACTGTAACTCAAAGATGCATTGTGCTAGGTTTGGTTTGAAATTGGCCCAAATTGCCTGTTGGTTCTAGACAAGAAGTTGGAAGTGGGCGAGAGTTAACAAACGACAAACAGGAAGCCAGACAGATGATGAGAAAAGCTCACGTAAGCCTTTTGCTAAGGTGAGCTAAAAATTAAAGTCTAAAAACAATTAAAGGTGATTTCATGGCTAACCCCCCTAACACGCCTCAAAATGCAATCTTTTTTTAAATACAAAAATAGTCATTAAATGAAAAATTTCGTGATATATTCCTTTAAAAATATTTGAAAAAAAAAGTCTGTTGACAAGTCCTCTGCATTTATGCTAAGGCCCTTTTAGATATTATGCACTTGAATGGAAGATTTGTCTTGTGATACGTGTATTTATACAAGTCATCAAAAATTATAGAATAGTTACTTCACATCTTTACCAATATAGATTTTCTTCTGTCATCTTCTGAAACGCTCTGGCCACCGCTTGATCTGAGGGAGACAGGTCGCCATTAACGTCCACCCCTCTTTTTTTCTTTATATAGTCAATGCAGAACTGGGAATCAGCTATAGATTTTCCGTCATACTCTATCCAAGGCGTTTTCCTTTTGGAGGAAAACTTACCCGAGTGATCGTTCTGCAAAATCAGTTGTAGAAATTTGTAGGCATTGGGTAGAAAACATCGTTTAGCATTATCCCCGTAATCGTATTTACACTGTACCTGGGGAAAAGGTTTAGGCTAATTTTTTTTTTAGTTCTCAATTTCTTTTCGGAGGCATACTTTGCCGAGTTATGCAGTACAGTGAAAGACAATTAAAAAAAATTGATTCACATCCTAGTTTGCATTTTTTTTTTACTGCAATAAAAGGTAATTTCAAGTAAAATTTTAAATTCGATATTTTTTACACTGCGGTTTTGTTCTCTCAGAAAATTTTAATTGAGCGATGGTTACTTAACGTGTTATTTGGCATTTCAGCATGTTCAGTGATATTTTACCCTTATCTACAGTGTAACATATATATATATAGACACTAATTAAGTTAAGTCGAGCAACGTGAAAGACCATAAATAATCAAAATCAGTAAAAACAAGTACACAAGCACCTACAATCAATATTTCCTACACATGGGGGTTTTCTGACGTAGATTTTTGACAGATTTATATTTATCTGTTTTCATTTTCTCTCTGTTACGAAAGATTTTCCCTCCCCTCCCTTCCGCCCTAACGTACCTAAGGCAAAACAAAAAATATGTGTGGTTCCGGTTACACTTCCAAAAAAATTAGGGTAGGTAGGTAGGGAATTTTTTTTTTTTTTTTTTAACAAAATGATTTTCTTAATTTTTTCTTTAGAAATAATACCTATCACTGCTTTGCAAATGGCATTTAGATGTGGTGTGATAATATACTAGTCAATATTGGTAGGGACACCTACATGCTAGTTTGCTTTGGATTTAACACTAGTAAACTATGTTTTGCAAGGAGGTCATCATTGCTGAAACTAAAACTTAAACTGGAGCCATTGATTGAAATCGGGGAAAATTCCGGAAAAAATATGAAAATTGCCAAAGAGAAAGTTTAGGGTCGGGGGTATAAAATAGGGAAGGTCGGGTAACCGGAACCACACATAATTTTTTATTTGGCCTAACCCAATTTTTCTTAATCCATGGTCCTAAATCGCTCTTGACATTATTTTAAGAAACATCTTGCTGTAGAACGACGGATTTGCTAAGTAACGTCAATTATCTCTATCAATTGAAAAGCCGGGTAATTAAAAACTTAGTCATGACAAAATTTCCCATGTGAGTTTGTGCTGTACGTATTGACTTGACAAATTCTTAATAAATGGATTATTTTCCTTTAACCTACTTTATAAATAAAATTGTTGTTTACTAAACTATGTGTATCTTTAATGGGCGAAACATGTAACTTAACGTTAGCCTATATAATTATAATTACGTAATTTTAAAAATCTACCAAAACGAATTGTAATCATTCCTTTTTTAAATACTTTGGATTTTATGATTAATCAATATATAAATGGTATCAATATAAACGAAACTCCTTCCTTGTCCCCTAAAGTACCGGTATATCATGTATCATTCAACATATGAAACTATGCACAACACGACAGTCGGGTTGCGTATAGTGATTCAAAATGTACTTACAACGTAAGGTGTTTTTGTCATCCGTAAAAATGTCTCCAATTTTAAAGGAAAGGGGGAGACGCTGGGCGCAAATGGACCTCTCCCAATTTGATACAAAATGACCACATCTGGTGGGACGTTATGACGCTTTGTTGACCTGTAAATAAATGAGCCAATCAGATCAACACGTTAATATAAACAAGTTCTGGATTATTGTCCTTCATATTATTTTTAATAAACTGCTAATACGCTTCTTTTTATGTCCACAAATATTTATTGTTCTATATTTGGATTTTTAAAAAGTGAGGCCCATAGGCCACAATGCCGGGGATTGCCGATTGTCGCGCACCTCTGTTAACTATAGTCTTCAAAGTAGTCCCTGCCACAGGAGCCGGTACCATACTTGTTTGATTTTGTGTAATCATTAATAAAAATTTTGTATATATTGTGATCACGTAAAATCAAATAAGGTATGTTACTGGTCTCTACATGTGGTTCCTGCATCATATACATGTCTAATATAAATATAAGCGTAAATTTTTAAACAAAATATATTTCCACACGCAATATATTGATGTTCAAGATGAAGGAAAGGATAGTTGTTAAAGGAAAAAAATAACTTAATGTCTATCGCAGAAGTTAAATTTGAAGTAAAACTTACTACTGAACCTTTCTAAAAGATTCTTGTAATTTAGACGACAATGGAGGTGTAATATTGAAGATTGTGAAACGCGTTCTCTGGTGAGATTGGAATAAAAACTAGATGCTGTCATAAGACAGTAATACTCGCTCGTAAGTGTTTTGGTAGCTCCCTTGTTCCTCACGGGGTAGCGAAGAAACTACAATTGTTATTCAATAACTTATATCAAATATGGATATATGTATCCAACTGAGCATAAAATGCATAGGTGAGCATATGATCATGAGGCTCCTATTTTAGTAAAAAATCGGCGCAGATTGGAACTTGAAAACATCATTTATCGACCCCCTATTTGGCCCTCAGGGTGAAAATGAAAATTACGAAACCTTATTGCACATATGCAGGACACTTCCAATCCTCTTGCAAAAGAAAATTTGGTAACTGTGTAAAGTGTTAAAGTTCTAGGAACCAGATTTTTGTAGAAAAACAAACGTCGTTTTTCGACCCCCATTTGACCCCTAGGGTGAAAATGAAAGTTTCGAAACCTTATCGCACATCTGCAGGACATCCCCAATAATCGTGCAAAAGATGAATTTTTTACTGCGTAAAATGTAAGAGAAGGCCCTTAAGGTTTTGAAGGGGAAAACGTTGTATTTCGTCCCCCATTAGGCCAGCAGGATGAAGATGAAAACTCTGCAAGCTTATTGCATATTTAAATGACACCAGTCCACCTATCATATTCCAAAAGATGAATTGTAATACTGCTTAAAATAAAAGAGAAGTTTGAGGGAGAAGAAAGTATGACGTACAGACGGAGCAGGATAACAATTACTCCTACAAGTAAGATCCTCGGTTAACGTCCCTACGCTCCACGGCGCCAAGTCAAAAGTATCTCGCCGTGAACCTCTAGCATGCTGGAGTACAATATGCCCGAACTTTCATTATAAAGTGCGGATAAAAAAAAGCAAAATTCAAAGATTTGTGATCCCCCGCATTCGGTGTCTTAGTGGTTGTGATGCAATTATTTATGGCATGTTGTCACTGTATTGTCTGTATGTCCTGTCTTGTTTGTCAAATAAAAAAGTTTTTTTTTAAGTTTTGAATTAATGAAAGTTATAGCCAAGATTAAAGTTTTTTAAAACTGCGTCAAATTTTAAGTTCAAGGTCATGAGGACAAATATCATAATACAATCCGAAATGTCTTGTCACAAGTAATGCTCATGTGAAGAAATATGAAAGTCCGATCTCTTTTAAAGAAAAGTTACGGCCAAAAGTTAACCGAGGTATATATAAGGAGCGTAGGGACGATAATCTAGTGTCTTTCCACAAATTTTCTTTAAAAATAAGCTTTGTTTTTATGACTTTTAGTCATAACAACAAAGTTTATTTTTAAATAAAATTTGTGGAAAGACACTAGCCTCTTACTTGTAGGAGTAGTGATTAATGTACTTTGGGCGCTAACCCCTCCTATTTCCATCCCTGCTCCGACGCCGATGCATGTTCACATTGTTTGATATATATATATATATATATATATATATATATATATATATATATATATATATATATATATATATATATATATATATATATATATATATATATATATATTCGGATATGATTTAAAATTTTGAATCTTTCGGGCTTTTATATCATATAGGCAACAGTAGTAAGGATACAATAAAAATGAATAAATAATGTATCGATTCTAAGAATTTAAGAATAGGCTATTAATTTTGTTTGCTTTTGATTACAGAAGTATAGATTTAGACGAAACGATGCTTTATGACTGGAGCTCAGGCATTTATAGATTTTTATTTAGATAGATTTTTGTATGTTTTAGATATATACGTGTATTCACTAATCAACTCCTCCTGAGGGGAAGATATACAGAGTACATACCACTTGGAATGACAAAGGATAGAGGGGGAGGGGAGGTTAGCCTCCCCCTTTATTCACAGAAATTATATTACATGTAAAATGAGAAGGGATGGAAGGGGATGTTAGCCTCCCCCTTTATTCGCAAAATTTATATCATAATATGTAAAAACTTAGACCCTTTCCTGCCTCCCCCCTTCAAGGTCAAGGTCACATGGTAAAAAATAGTATACTTTCTGCTTACGAATGTATGTATAATTTGTCTTATTTCTCTTAAAGGGGCCTGGACACAGTTGCGATGTTTACTTTTAAAATTTCTATGTTTATTCAAAATCACAACCAATTGATGTCAAGATCTAGTAAATGAAAAGTGCCTACAGATTTCTCAAATTTGAGAAACAAATTCCTTTAATAATCTATTACAATTGTAGCTAAATAAATTGAGGTGTATCGGGGCATAATATTTAGATAAACGGAACGAAAAAAACATATTTTAAACTGCCCTTTTCAATGAAAAATGAAGAAAATCAGGAATAAAAATGGGAGTTTTCTCCATCTCAGACAAACAAAATGTATCAATATTGCCTAAAGTCTCTCAGTAAACGGTTTTTCATATCTTCTTGACCTCTTCTTTAAAATGATATTAAATTGAATATAGGTATCGGGGTTCCTTTTGAAATTATTTCAAATTGAATTCCTTGAAAATGTGTCATTTTCTACTTAATTCTGTTATAGCCGTAAAATACGGGGAAAATAAGATTAAATCAATTATGACGTCATAATGGATCTAGCACCAAAAGACAGACTAAACTCATTTACTAGATCTTGACCTTAAATGAATTTAATTTACACTGAACTTACATGAATATTTTTAAGAATTCAATGTCAACGTCAAACATCAGTTTTTGTAAACAGAGCACGAGATCTGTTATTGTTAAATATTTACGTTTCACCGGGTTCGTTCAATTTGTTAAACTCTGCACACATCACTGAGCACGGACTGACAATACAGGTGAGTTGTTTTGCTTTCTCGCATTTCTACTCTTACTATTTTAAGATTTTAGTTTTAATATTTTCTTTAACAGAAAAAAAGTTTCTACTTTTCTGAAGTATTAAGGATAAAGTTTACATCGTGAAAGTGTCAGTATACGTGTCAATCAAACGCAAAAAAAAAATAATTTTCAGATAAAAAGAAGTTTCTTTGCACGCTTTTATTATATTTCTGTGTGAAATGCTATAGCAACATATAAGCGATGATATTACACAGAAAAATTGAGAAAATATTAATTTCAGATCTGTGTCCCAGTCCCTTTTTCAATGACAAAAGTATATTAAGCAAGAAAATTGTCGATCCCGGAGATTGCATGGCGGAACAGAAACTTCAGGGTAAAGATTTACAGTACTGAATAAAAGGAGCCTATATAGATTTCTCAGATTTGAGAAATGAATTCCATAGTTTGATAAAATAAAGTGATTTGGGCAAAATTTTGAGGTAAACACAATGCCAAACTTGTTTTAAACTTTCATTTTCAATGTAAAACGAAAATCAAGCAGTTATAAAAACGGGGAGTTATTTTTCCATAACATCACACAAATTTTATGTTTCCAAAATCCCTATCCAGATCTCAGAAATGATAATTTATATGGGATTGTAATTCAATTCAAACGTACCGTAAAGTATAGGGAAAAGTAAGTTTGATAATGACATAATAAATCTGGCACCAAAATTAAAGACGGGTTCAGCTCATTTTTCTCTTTAGAAGCCGCAGGAGCGACCGCTCTATTAGTGGTTGTGTTAAGAAAATAAAATTTATAGTGCCCATGGGGAAATGAAAAGTTTTTTTTTAGTGGATCGATCGAATAATTCTTCAATGATAACACGTATAAAAGTTATAAATAAAATAGGCTAAAATTGCTTTATACAAATCTTGATTAATCTCATTATGTTTCTTTTTCTCATTTATTCTCGCCAGATATTTATTCATTTGTGATTTTATAAAAAGACTCAACAAGTAGTACATGTACTCCTCAACCTTGGAGTGTGTTCAAGACATGAAAGCTTATCGGGGGTGGGGTGGGGGTGGTGTCTGTCCCCAAGCTCCTGTGGACAAAAAACCAATTTTGGCTTTTCAACTAAAGCTTAAATACATCCAGTTGAAAAAGCCACGCTGCGCTCATACACTAGACCACATGACGTAGTTTACACATTTTTTAAATAAATCTATAATATGATAGCAAAAATAATAATATTTTGTAGTGAAAGAAAATCAGTATAATAATACATGTATATATATATGACCAGCTCAACAATAGAATATCCTAAGGGGTGATAATGAACGGGATGTAAAACCGAACACATCTATACGAAGTCATATATCGATTCACTAGGATTTGCAGCCTTTCAGCGAAAGAAAGGTCTCCATATCCTTTATGAGAAAAAGCGATCCATGTATTTTTATTTCTTGATTACCATTTTTAGTTGACTTCCCTGGTTTTTATCGATCTAAACTTAAACATTTTGTACCAAAGGACTCATTTAAAGGATAAAATGTAAATAGAAGTTGTGTCCCCTAGCCTGTCATATTAACCCCAGCCCATCCCGTCCCACAAAGAAAAAGATAAGCTTATATATATTATTTTTAACAGTCCTTCTTCACTTCATTGTAAACTTTGGTTTACTTATGAAATTAAAAATCGCACGAGCTGTAAAAATCACATCAACTTTAACTTCGATTGATATTCTGGACTCCTAATTTTTAATTTAAAAAAAAAAGTCAACAAAGTGAAAATTACACAGAACTGTGCAGATTTTGTGTCTTTTTCTTAAATCATGAAAAATTGCTTTTAATTGTTAATCTATGCGACATGGTTATATGTAATGCGCTATATAGCCCCAGGTGCATAAGTGCATACACATTCTTCACTTTAATGTTTACAAATAGATAATATGATCTAGACACAATATATTTAACTCTACTACTATTAGTAATAGTTGTCGATTATGGTGCTCGTAAATTGTCATTTGCAATTACGTACAATATACTCCTCGCTTTTAAAAAGGGCACAAGAAAAAAATCAGAAGCATGTTTTGCACAAATTTATGCAACTTAACTAATTTTACAACTGTAAAAGTTGTGTATAATTGGCCATATATGTTAATATTAGACCCAAGATAGAACATGATAGAAAGAGCCTCTAAACAGGCTAATGCCCCAACTTTTAAACAGCTGGTCGATCCGTGTATTACGTTGACCCATCCATTACCTCCCTATGGACAAAAAATAGTACGAACGTTATACTTTTGGAAGATACTTACCATCTGTATAAAAAAGATCCAAGCCTGCATATAAGTATTGTTATTAATATAACTATTCCAGCAATGAAAATTTGTAGGAACATTTTCACTGTTTAAATGTCTTGTCAGTCTGCATAACCCTCGGCCCGGCCCATTGGTTTTAAGAACCCCACAAGTGCAGAACATCTACAGTGTCAAAATAATGGACCCTGCATGTGTTATATTAACTTAACCGACCATTTTCTTCCTCTTTTTCTCAACATCAAAAAAGCAAAGTGAAAGTTTAATTAAAATCGACTTACTCAGATGCGACATTTATCAAGTACGCGCTAATTAATTTGTAAATGCAACGCTGAACTCCCCCTGTGAGGTGGAAGTGGAATCGCCCAAGTTTGTTGACATTTGAGAACTTCCTTTCGGCTGTGTATACAACATGTGGATGGCAAAGGAGGTATATTTACCCATATGCTGACATAAAATACCGGGTTTGTGGGATCTTCTCTGTCATGGGTGAGTATTTCTACATAAATCGGTTGGTTATTCGAGAATCGCAGACCATGTTAAAAATGTCGAAGCATGACACTCGAGCAATAAACATTAGCTGCTTGGTTCTATACATTTGAAAAATTCTCCGCACTGCGTGTTTACATATTATATTCAGAGGTTACCATTTACATATCGTAGTTAACTTTGTTTTTGAACTCTTTGTCAACGCAGACATTTTTTATAAGGATAAATATCAGTAGATTAGCTTTTGCAAATTACCCAGAAAAATTCAAGATGGCGGATCATTGGAACCCTCATCATCAACATTATCAGACACGAAAAGGCATGCGGCCTACTGAGAAAAGACCTGGTTAGACGAGTTGGTTATTTAAGACATAAAACATCACACCAGACACCCTGTGTTGGTTGTTGAATATGTGACAGAGGTGAATTTGAAACTAGGGGGAAAATGTAACAGAATATGTGTTAACACAGGGATATAATTAGTTTCATGCTATCTCTTCACAGGAACCTGACCTAGGTCAATATTTATGAGTCACTTCTAAATGCTCTTTTTGTCCAAACCATGTTATACTGAGATAAAATCATTGAAAACTTTCATGTACCTGAGGAATCAGTTCCCTTACAAGTACATAAATGGCAGGTTTACAATGCACCTTTGTATATAGGTATAAATTTTGTGTTCAGATGTATTGTATTTGAAATTGTTGATTATTGACACATGTGCACATATTTCTGGTAGTACATACAGTCATACTAAGCTTCAGTTACACTACATATATAACCAGACAATTGTCATTTAATGCGTTTCATGGCCAATTGTGTATTGACTGGTTAGTCTTACTTAGCTTAACCAATCAACATATTCTTATTTATTAGAAGTATGTTTACAAAATGAGAAAGGGTTAATTATTGAATGCATACATAAAGCAAAGAGACACAAAAGATCAACCAAGTCTAAGATTTCCTGTAGAAACATCATGTACATATATGTACTATGATATTAAGTCTATTAGGTAGTGATGGGCCGATTGTCGCCGACGATCGATTGTCGGTCGTTAGGAGCTCTTCGATACTACTAATCGATTACAAAATAAATGTCGCCGACATCGCTGACAAAAAATAATATTGTAATACTTTAATTTTATTACCAAATCCACGTGCAAAGAGTTTTAAAGTAGTGATGAATGTTTAAAATATCGAAGGTATCCTTGCCATGTTGATATTTACCGCCATGATTGATTATAGGGTCAGACTAATAACAGAAAAACGGACAATATTAAGAGGTTTACTACCGTATACACAGGAAAATATTAATAGTACAGACGATCTGTAAACGTTATTAAAATCAGGAATACAGGTCCAAATTCTGGATAACTACTTTTTAAACTTGTAAGTCCAAGAAATAAATAAATGTAATGCAAGATGGGACTAATATCAGTAATATTCCCCCATTCAATATTTTTAATGAGAATTTTTTGTAAAACAAATTCCCATTCAATATATTTTTTTTAAAGTAAAGAAATTCTTTTTTTCCACTTCAATAAAGGAAAAAATGAATAAACATATATGAATATAATTAATTAAATGATTTTTTGGGGGGGAAATCTGAACTTAAATCTGAATAAGTTTAACTTTTTATATTTATTTCATTTAAGTTAAAGATTCGATTATAATCGATTATTAATCGATTATGTGCAGCCGATTATTACCGATAATCGATTATGATTTTTTTCCGATTTCCCATCACTACTATTAGGATTGTCATGAAATCCCCCCCCCCCTTCTAATTCTCATGTTTCCTGTGATATCTTTTAAATTTCAGTAACATTGATGAATCAATAAGCTTTGATGTAGCTGATCACTTTAAGCTACTGTTAACACTTTTTATTCACAAGAACTTTATTTCGCGTAATTACGTGAGATGGTCTGCTTGCGAAAATTTAATTCTCGCGTATACATGTAATTTTATTAGCAAAAAACATATACAGCAAAAACCTCCATTCGTGAAAATTTTGTCTCCCTTATAACATGTATAAATACCAAATATATATCTCGCTAAAATAAGGTGTTGCAAAAATTAGATGATCTACTGTATTTCACTTCTGTAAAAAAAATACTTTGGGTGTAATAAAATTGTTTCATTTGGTGTCAGTTTGGACAACGAGGTACTGATCTTGCTGAAACATATAATAGTAAATGATTAAAATGGTTTGCATTATTCCCATCCCTCCGAAAAGAAAATGGATGTTTTGAAAGAGAAAAGCAAATATTTTCAGATACTCCCCGTAATTTGAATTATCTACACTATGTAACAAACAGAACAATCATTTGACGATCATTCATCAAGTGTCATTTCATTTTCAAATAAAACTGTGTGACTAAGCTAAATAACCACAATAAAATGTTGCAATCTAACAATTAAATTGTTTATCAACAGATCAGTCAGTGTTAAATTTGTGTTACTTGTATACAACTTGAAAATGAATAAAACATACTAGGACTTCTCATCCTATCATTTTTTTAATTTTTCAAAATCAATTTACATGTAGTATTCCTGCAATCCCTCTCAAAGATTGTTATCTATACTTAAGTGTTTATTGTTTTAAGTGTGAGAGTAATTTTGAGGAAACAATTCTTATTAACTAAAAAGTAACTAATTGGGCTACTAGAATTTTTTTTATCTTCTGTGGATCATAAATTTTATGATTTCAGGGTAAGAAAAAAAATTCAGTGACAACTTGTCCCAGGGGATAGGTATGAAATCATACCCACTTGTTCCTATGATGATTTTACTTGTTCCTTTATATAAAGCCTGTTTTTCACAAAATCATAAAAAAGATTAAAGCTTGGTTTAGATCTCTTCTCAAACTGTGATCATGGATGTACATATGTTCATTTAAATTCAGAGTTGAAGTCTCTTGTCAAATTTTGAAGCACTTTTTGTATTATTGACTTTATCACTGGATATAATCAGAAGAAAATTATCAGTAATCATGCAAAAAATTTTACTCGCCACCAGGAACAGGCAGATAATGTCATCCACTTGTCCTTGGTCGATTTTCACTCGTCCAGGACAAGTGGACAAGTGCTTTTTTTGCACCCTGAAAATATTCATGACTGACTTATCAGAAGGCCTTCTCAATGTGTTGGATTTCAGATGTGATCAGAGATTCAGAGTGGTTTTTGCTTAGTTTAGGTAGTCTTGTTTGCTAGATATACTTACTTACTTTACTTTTTTTATGCAGTTCAATCAAGCATCAGGTTATTTGATTGATCAACATGTGATCAAATCAATTTCCATGCTTGTCACAAGTTTATTAATGAGTATCTTATAAAAGCTTTATATATAATATTTCTTTAGTGAATATTTGTATTTAGCTTATGATGATGTTAAATTTAGCAGAAATAAATATTCATAAATGAGTAGGTCAGTGTTTGAAGTTCTTCAGAGAAATAATTCTAAAGATAGAAAATTTTATTTTTCCATGCCAATCAGCAGGAGGAGTCAGTAAAATGATTGATGTACATATGTTACAGGTCAGAAATCATCAAAGCCGAGAGACTTGGATGGGGAACCTTCCCCCACACCTCGCAAGTCTCCGAAGCGGGGAGGAATGAGGCACCATGAGAGATCAGAAATAGAATCCCCACTGAGATCAGAGTCCGCTCCCGTTATGGAGCAGAGATCCAGTATAGGGGACTCGCCAAGTCTTCCGAAGAGCAGGTCCTTAAATATGGCGTCTTCTAGCTCGGAACAAGAAACAGACTATGATCAACAAGACACAGACTATGAGCAAAAGGAAAATGTTCCTCAGACGTGGACAGAAAAATCCATTCCTGATAGTCCCCTAAGAATGAATGGCACTGGCACAGAGCCATTAACACCAAAGACAGTCAATGGAGGTATGCTTCCTCGGGCGGCCTCTACACCAGCAGCCTATGGGATGTTATGTACAGAACAATTACGTAAGTAACGCAGATTATTTACAAGAATGCAGAAACTTGAAAACAAACATCTCACTTGATAAACATGATAAATATCAGATGTTTGTCCAGAAAAACAACATTTTGAGTGACATTCACAGATGCACATGTATTTTGTAATTTTTGAGATAATGATGCATAAAAACTTAAACAACAAAATGTGTTCATGAAGGGTAGAGATTTTCATAAATGCCATCGTCACAAACAGAAAAATAAGTGTGTTTATTGCTCTATTTTTATTTTTTTCATTTTTTTTTTTACACACCATTTAGAAAGGAAAGCTTTCTGCTGTTTTCTGGAAATATCTTTGGAAAATATTAAGGAGTTGAAAAACATAGTATTTTTTAATTTGTTTACATTACTCATTATAAAACAAGGATTTGAAGTAGAATAGGCATTTCCAAATGAAGTTAAATGTTGTTCTATACTTTTGAATTAAATGAGGGTCCATCAAAAATTACATAGCCTTTTGTCATAACTTTTATTTAGCATCATATTATGACCAAATTTGGTAGAAATATTTCAACAGTAAATTCAAATGATTTGAATAACGAAGAACAAATATGATATTTTTCAACATGTTCAAAAATTAAAACTGCAAAAAAGGGGTTATATTGCCTCGTTGAACAGAAATCAATTGCAAAAGACAGGTAGTCCTCATTGAATAGGGAGGAAAAAAATGATGCCTTAGGATGTCATAGAGCAGCGAGTAGCAACATAATTTTGTGTTGTACTAGGGAAAACTCCATAAGTAACTCAGAAAATGTTGGAATAAGCAGAAAGGACTATATTCTGTAGTGGCCAGTATCTGCCCCCAAAATAAAACTTTGATGGAGAAATCTTTAATTATGTTCTAAACCAGGTGGATATTTGCAGACTTCAAAGCATTAAATATTTTTATCAATTATGACATCATTAGTTAGATATGACGTCAATAAAATGACGTAAATTCCAAATTGCAATGATTTTGAGAGAAAATATTGTATTTTACGTCGGTATTTTGATTGGAAATTATCGAGCGCAGGTCTGCTCAGACTAGATCTTTTGATATAATGTGTAGAATGATAATATCAATGAAATATGTGAATATGGTACCTGAGCAAGCTTGCGCTCTATAAATACTATAGTCAAAATTGAACAAACTCTGTGCATTTTGGCCTCTATTTTAAAAATAACGGAAATCCAAATAGTTTGTGACGTCACAGAGACAAGAAAAGCCAACTATTTTTTTCAATTTCATAATATATTGTCTTAATTTGGATTATTTTATACAATATATACACTTTTGCTCATTTCAAGAGATTTTCAAAATTTGACTATTATGGGGGCAGGAATACGCCCTTACCGTTTATAGTTCTTTATATCAAACTAGCTTTGTGTGTATGAATAAATGACACAGGAATTTTTTTGAGTTTTAGAGACTTCATATTGGCATCCAATGTAATGGATTATTCATAAAAAAGGGTAAAAAAAAAAAAAAACTGTAAGTAGCGTTGTGAAATGGGATGTGCACTTCACTGTTGCGGTACTTGTAAAACCAGAGTTATGTTGTTTTAAAAAAAAATGAAGACATGCATTGACAAACTATCTTGATACTCGAATAACTGTAAGCAAAAGAAGGTGTAAATTGTTAAAGAAACTTGTTTTAATGATTAGATAAGTCACTAAAGACCGTGACACAGTGTGTGAAATGTAGAGGGGGAGTATTACTGAGAAACTGTCGTGACATTTTGTGTTTGACATAAATTAGCAGGAGTGCTCTGTGGTGACAAAACATTGATTTTAAAATAATGTAATGTGAATTCCGTCTGATCAAATGAAATGAAACTGCACACGTCAACATGATCAAAATAAGGTTTTTACATGTGATAGTAGGTTTATTTTAGATTTCTTAAAAATGATATGAAAAAGAGTGCCATTTTCTAGGTATTTTTTTTTTTTTACAGATGTATCATTTTAATAGAGCAGACAAAGTTAAACTTTGAAATGATTGATTGATACACGACTAAATAAAATTAAACTTGCACAATAAATGGTTATTTTTTTGTATACTGTATACTATAATCACTTCATTCAGATATGTTGACTATTTAAATGTAATTGCCAGGATATAATTATCTGATTAGTTTAACAAGATTTAAATTATTATTATTATTTTTTTTTTATCTTTTTTGATGTCCTCCATTAACATACATTGACAAAATCTATTGGTGATTTTTAGTGTGACAGATGGAGGCATTGAATTAGTCAAGGTGTGATGCATAAATTAATAGTAACACCCCCCCCTACCCCCCCCCCCCCCCCAAAAAAAAAGTAAGAAAAATCAATTTGACTCCGACTTTTTAAAATATTTCATAATTATAGATCAGATAAAAAGAACAAGCTCTACAAAGAGATTAAGGGATTTTTTTTTAAAAAATAATATCAGATAGATATTACCTAATTAATTTCATGTAGAAAAGCCTATGGGCAAAGTATATTTTTCATTAATTTAAAGTAAAGAAATGAGTTTTGGGGGGAAAAAAGATGTAGTAAAAAGATCAATAAAAATACTCTTTATAATTTGATGTATAACTATTTAAAATTTGAAGGTATAACTGTGCAAATTTTAGAGAAAGTAATTTTGAACAGATATTTCAAGGAGACATAATAACGTATAATTCACACTGAATTAAAGGATTGTTGTTTAAAATTTAAACTTTGAAAATTATTTTAATTAATCTCACAAACCAATCTGACATAATAGCTGATATAGATTATTTTTTTCTCTGTTAGTCACCCATGGTGATATCCACTCTTCGTCAATGTTTCTAACATCAAGTGGAGAAATTGCAATCTTCCAAGGAGGCTGAAAGTGTCAAGAATAAGCTATATGTTGGATATTATTTGGGCTGTAGTCCATTCATGCCAATTATGTGATATTTTTGAGGGGTTTATGCTATAGTGTCTGATAATTTTAACTAGTCTTTCTGTACTCCATTTCAGACTTACAGGTACCATTAAATTTTAAAATTTCTGGTCACCATCAAAAAAAAAAAAAAAAAAAAAAAAATCAGGCATTGACAAAATATTTTTGTCTTACCTGTAACCTTTAACTAATGTAATTTTAATTTGTGTAGATATAAACACAGACTCTGACCAGGACCACACAGATCAAAGTGATGATGAAGCCCTAACACCTGTCAGTCAGGTAAGTGATGATAAAGGTTAACACCTGTCAGCCAGGTAAGTGATGATAAAGGTTAACACCTGTTAGTCAGGTAAGTGATGATGAAGCTAAACCGTCAGTCAGGTAAGCAATGATGAAGTCTTACACAGGTAAGTGATGATGAAGTCTTACACAGGTAAGTGATGATGAAGTCTTACACAGGTAAGTGATGGTGAAGTCTTACACACGTAAGCAATGATGAAGTCTTACACACGTAAGCAATGATGAAGTCTTACACAGGTAAGCAATGATGAAGTCTTACACAGGTAAGCAATGATGAAGTCTTACACAGGTAAGCAATGATGAAGTCTTACACAGGTAAGTGATAATGAAGTCTTACACAGGTAAGCAATGATGAAGTCTTACACAGGTAAAGAAATGATGAAGTCTTACACAGGTAAGCAATGATGAAGTCTTACACAGGTAAGCAATGATGAAGTCTTACACAGGTAAATGATGATGAAGTCTTAACACCCATTAAATAGGTAAGTGATGACAAAAGTTAACATGTTTTAGTAAGATAAGTGATGATGAAGCCTTACATGGAACACCTGTCTGTCAAGTAAGTGATGTTGTAGTCCTTACACCTATCAGGTAGGTAAGTGATGATGAAGTCTATTTACCTGTCAGTCAGGATAGTGATGATGAAATTTTAACACCTGTCAGCCAGGTAAGTGACAGTGACAAAGTTTTAACACCTGTCAGTTAGGAAATTTTGATAGGGATTTGACATCTGTTTGTAAGGTTAGTGAAGATAACCTCTATTTGATTAGTAAGGAATGTGATAGAGATTTCACATCTGTTCGTGTTAGTAAGGTTAGATTGGTTAGGAGGAAGTTTGGTTCACTCTCTATCAGAAATGCGATGATTTGGGTGATGATAATGATAAAGTAGGGGCTTCAGCTTATTAAGTTGGTGGTGAAGAAACTGAATGATGTATATCAAGTTAGTGCTAATTTGAGAAATTCTTTAATATTTTATAGTTAGTCATTTAGCTAAACCCAATATGATACTTGAACTCATTCATAAATGTTTCTGTATTAGATTTCTGAATTAGATTTTTACCATACTTTGAAACTTGTGATTACCAGATTTATCATTTTTTGACATCTCTCTCTCCCCTTTTATGCAATTGAAGACTGTCAACTGCATCCTCAGTTAAAAACAAATCAAATTATATGACATAGTATATTGAATTATGTGGTATTTCCATGGTATAAAAGTATTTATAAAATTATTTACAAGCATAAAAATCAATACTTTGCCTCCAATTTAGATTACTGAGTAATTTTACTTCAATACATCAGTCTCAATGATTCATCTGTTCCACTAAAGGATATGACAGAGATTAATTCAAATAGGTGTGGAGTTGATACTGGACAAAATGGCACTGGATTATAATGGTTACCATGGAGATTTTAGTGACTTTGTCAGGTGATAGCATTGATTATAATCCAAGGGACAAGATATTCTCTTGCTTGGAATTTTTAGCTCACCTGAGCCGAAGGCTCAAGTGAGCTTTTCTGATCAC